TCCAAGTATTATCTTGTAGTTTATCATCCTAATAACTTAATCAACATATAAGCAAGATTAAGCACAATTAGTAGGCTGTTATACTCACCTTAGACAGCAGCAGCAACTTGGAATTTCATCCAAATACAGCCCACAACAATCCTCAATGAGAACACTACCTCAAAGAGGTGTTGTTCTTCACTAGAACTAAGTTTTGATGTTGAAATATGGTGTAATCACTTTAGAATCACTTCAAACCCTTGTGGTATATGTTTAGGAGGGTTAGGCGAAGTTTGGGGACGAATTTTATCTGAAAAATGAGCAAAAATAGGCGTTCAAATCGTTTATAAATTGAAGTAGGTCAACCACTGCCTAAGTGGGTCCCATTTGGAGCTGCTTGCGCGGTCTCGCGAAAACGCGAATATCTCTCTACTCCGATGTCGTATTGACGAACGGTTTAATGCGTTAGAAACTAGACTCGTAGACCTTCAATTTGGTAGGTAGACCACCCCATTATTCCAAGTATATTTGGAGAAATTCTCAGATACATTTGACCTAAATTTCAACAAATTTATGAATGTAACTTGTGATGACCTTTGCCAACTCTTGTTCCACAACTTGCTTGCCTTCAAAATGTAGAAAATGAATATCATACGACTAAAATAACTCATAGAATAACCTCCTTATCATGTTAATAACCCTAGTCTCACCCCAAAGTACATGTTATAACATTCGAAACTTGTCGACTTTCGACGAAACTTATTTTCTTCAATTGGTTTAGCTTCTAAGATTTCCAACCCTCTTGGTACTCGTTATTCATGATCTTAAATATTTGTAACCTCCAAGGTAACATGATTAACTTACTTTATTTGCTTCCAAATATAATCTCATTTCCGAGCTTACATCAATGACTTACGACGTACTCTCACGTATGAAAACTTGGGGTGTAACAGTTTGTCTCCTTCTTAACCATCTTATACCAATCCCTGTTCATCCTCTTTTCTTCCTTGTCAATGCTCTCCAATAACTTCAAATATACCATTTTCTTGGTTTCTAGTTTTTCTTGGACCTCTCTATTCCACCATTAGTCCCCTTAGTGACCACCCGAGTATCTTCGAGACTATGCCTAATACCTCTCTAAAAGCCGCCCTAATACAATTGTGGTCCATATAATACTCGTGTCCCCATCACTCCTCCAAGCCCCCATAGCCAGAAGCTTAACCCCAAATCATGAGGGTTGTCCTTAGTCAAGGCTCCCTTGATCTTATGATGACCATACACAACCGTCTTCCTCGTGATCTCAAGGTCCATGAGCCTATGTTGGATCATAAGGTTCTCACACAGGATGATCTCTTAATCCGTGCAAAGATTTTTATTGGACTTCCTGAGGAGTAGATAATCAATATGGGTCTTTGGCCACCAAACTTTGGAAAGTGACCAAGTGATCCACCTTATTCGGAAACTCGAGTTAGTTATCACCAAATCGAACGCTTCAGCAAAATCCAACAGTGAAGTTCCTTCTCCGTTTCTATCTCCAAAACTAAAGCCGCAATGCGCATCATCATAAACCCAAACCTCGTCCCAATGGGGCAAGATTCAAAATTATCCTTATATTAGTTATGCTACGGGCCAATGCAAAATGAATAAATAGGTACGGATAAATTTAAAATCAAATGGACAATAAAGTTGCTCAACTTTAAATGTAAAAATTGCACGAAACGCTCAATTTGGTGCCGCCATTTAACCCGTACCCACTTTTTAATTTTTTTAAAACTTGTACCCACTGTTTAAACAACTTCAGGCCTTTTCTTCTTCTTCTTCTTCTTCTTCTTCTTCTTCTTCTTCTTCTTCTTCTTCTTCTTCTTCTTCTTCTTCTTCGGATAACAATAATTTTATATGGTATTTGTGAATATATTTTAAGGCAGTTTATGATGTTTTATAGTGGTGAGCTATTGTGACGCTTTATTTTTTACAATTGCTTAGGGTTTTTTCATTTTCTTTTTCTTAATTGCAAAATGAGTTCGTTAGATTTATTGTTGTATTGACAAATTGATGATTGATGTTTGTTCTTGATGATATTTGAATGTTATGTTTCAAATTTGAGCTCATTTAGAGTATATTTATGTATTAAATCGTATATTGGATTATTAAAATTCGAAGAACAAATTTTTGTTTCTGGGCATATTGCACTTAAGACCTTTTCGCCTTAAGTGCACATGAAGTGTAGTTTTTCACTTGAGACTTATTGACCTTAAGCGTAAGAAAATATTTGTTGCACTTCCGACCTTTTAACCTTAAGTGCATTTGAAGTGTAATTTTTTATTTCAAACTTATTGGTCTTAAGCGCATAAAATCATTGGTTGTACTTGAGGCCTATTTGGTTTTAAGTACATCTCAAATATAATTTTTCACTTCAAATTATTTTTTTAAATTTAGATCCGATAGTGATTATAGGTTGGATTGTGACCTCCAAAATAAGGTATAGATGCAAAATCAAACAGGTACGGATAAATTTAAAACTTTTTCCCCTTTTATAATTTTTTTTTTCACGTAGTATTTCGCATCTTCTCTTTGGTCATCTACAATTCTACACCACCATAGCTTCAGAATTTCCTCAATGTCATAGGGATTTAATCACTGAAAAATAAATAACCCCAAATGATATTATTGTACAACAATCTTTATTTTGGTCAAGAAATTATGGGTCATTCTAAAATTAATGCTAGCAGAAGAGACCATTTCCTCAGTGGATTAAATACTTGGATGGGTCCAAATTCACCTTCTAGTGCACACACTGATGGTGTAAAAAAGCTTCAAGGTACAATTTTTCTTCGCCCCCTTTATTACCTTTTTGCATCAAATTAGTTTTACAACAATTATTAAACTAGTTGAGATCGATTATATATTGATTTTGCTTTATTTGGATTCGTTTCGTCATAAACTGACTAGTTTTAAGCTCGTTATCGTCCCCTTTATTTGGACTAGGGGCGTAGCTAAGTTCAGGCAAGGGGTTTAATTGAATTCCCTTAGTCAAAAAATTACTGTATAAATAGCGGGGAAAAAAGTAATTTTGTTGAAGAGGAGCATTGGCATAACTGGTAAAGCTGCTGCCATGTGACCTGGTTCGAGCCGTGGAAACAGCCTCTTGAAAAAAAGCAGGGTGAGACTGCGTACAATAGACTCTTGTGGTCCGGCCCTTCCCCGTACCCCGCGCATAGTGTGAGTTTAGTGCACCGGGCTGCCCTTTAAATAGCGGGGAAAAAACTAGTTTTGTTGGTTATATATAAAATGTTTAATCCCCTTAACAATTCCGGGTAGTGGCACAAGGGGTACAAAAGTTGCTTTAGGTCATAGGTTTAAATCCTAGATGTGACATTTTAGTATCTTTTTGAATCGTCACTGGTTATATGCTACATACTTTGCTTCTAAAACATTTAGTTAGTGGGTATGATAAACTATGAAGGTCCAAGAGTTGAAATGATGTAAACATCCTTTCTTGAAAGTTAGTTGGAAGTATGGACAATTTCTTGGTTGCTTTGAATTGCCATTTGACATTTTTTTTTTGACTTTGGTTGTCAAGCTGAGTCGCGTCTTACTTTAAGTAAACAGTGTGTCTTTCATTTTTTAGAAAGGAAACATCTTTAGCGCTTTTAATATTTGCATTTGGATTGTGATTGTTCTCGGGGTCGCAAATTTTCGTATTTGCTGAATGTATAAACAATTGTTAGCTGTACAATTGGGTTATGTCAATCACTGGATATGCCTTTTACTTAAACTCTTCTTAGGATGATATTAGTTAAGAATTAGTAGTTTCTTCACTGCAGTGGAGAAGAATTTAAAGCTAATATTTTGGTTTTATGTCCCTGAAGGACTCAGATATAAGAATATGTCATCTCAGATTGTGGGAAAGTTCAGTCAAAATAATCAAGATATCTCACAAGAGTTCCAGCTTCCATCCGCATATGAATCTGCCATGGACGCTCTTTCGACTCTCATTACTCAGAAAAAAAGAAATGGCATACCAGCCATTAGTGGTCAAAACCAGAAACTGGACAGAATGTTGAGGTACATTAAGGTAGTGCCATTTCTACCTTAGACTGTTTCGCCTTTAAGAGTTGCGTGATAAATGTGCATCTTGGTGGTACCGGTCTTGCCTATCTGCTTATGCCACAAACTAATTGAAATTGGTGTTATCGGTGTAACTTTTGTTTGCTGTTTCCAGAATGTGCAGTATAGTCATAGTGATCTTATAATTAATTAACGGAGTGATTATAAGTCGAAACATTCTAGCAATGAATTTGTAATCTATTGAAAAGAAAGAGAAATGAAAAGTACTGTTGATTATATGATGGCAGTTAGAAGTTTTGAACTTCGTATCTTTCAAATTACAAAAATTTTGGTCTTAAAATATATTTTGAAAAAAACAAAGTGGGCGTGATATATATTGCATTTCTTTGCAGATTTTGGGCTTGGAAGAAAAGATAGCAGGCCTTAAGATTATCCATGTTGCTGGAACTAAAGGAAAGGTATCTGGACCATTTCCGTCATCAAATTAACTGCTTTTTTTAACCTGATATTTTCTGTGACATTTAATGTAAGTCATTCCCGATTGCCTTAATGATTTGATGTGATGATCTCCCTTTAAAATTTGAGAATCAAATATTTTTTTGAATTAAAAGAAAAATGTATGAATTAGAAAGGATAGTCAAGTTTTCTGAAAGAGGTGAGACGAAATTTCATATAAAAGAGTTATCTAGTGTTAAATTATAGTTTCATTTATCAAGACTGTGTATCCAGAAACTCTAGCGACCCCTTCCCCCTCCCCCCCCCCCCACCCACAAACACCCAAACCAAAAACAAAAAAGAAAAGGAAGAAGAAGAAAAAAGGGGTAAAAAGCATGTGCTAGTGGGATGTTAGGATTATCTTTTAATGGTTAATTGGCTATGTTCTTCATAAAAAAAAAAGGTGGATAAGTTATTTTGCATGTGAATACATCTTTATGGTAACTCTGTTGGTTTCCGGGATTTCTACGATATTTACTTTTTCTGTGCACATGATGTGTATTGGACGAACGTTATGCATAGCTAAGTGAATTTGATACTGCTTCTTCAGTATTTTATTTGTCTTCTGATAAGAATTTGAACGTTGGGCTTTACTCAACTCCAAAAGTTAGTCCATGAGGACTCTAACCACCCTCCCCTCTACAGTCCACACGCCAAAAGCTGGATATGTGAAGCTTGAACGATATAACATAGGGGCCCAACATTGCCTAAACCTAGAACAGAGTTGGGTCTGATTGATTGTAAAGAAATAGACATTGGGCTTAACTTAAATCCAAAGTTAATTCCTGAGTTGAGGATTGTCCATGACTGTATAAAGAAACTACAGTCTGTGACCTCAGGGCCTCAACCAATGTGGGGCTCTAACATTTTCTACTAATTGGCTGTAATTGTCCAGCATCTAAGATTCACTTGTAGCTCAGAACAAATGCAGAATGGAAAAGCTTTTCTAAAGAAGTTATGACTTTTCGTGTTCTTTTAATTGGATAATTAATCCCATGTCTTGAAGGGGAGCTTTGGCGTAACCGGTAAAATTGCCGCCATGTGACCAGGAGGTAACGGGTTCGAGCCGTGGAAACAGCCTCTTGCAAAAATGCAGGGTAAAGCCGCGTACGATAGACCTTTGTGGTCCGGCCCTTCCCCGGACCCCGCGCATTGCGGGAGCTTAGTGCACTGGGCTGCCCTTTAATCCCATGTCTTATTTGATTCAATAATTGATATTTTCAAAGAGCAGGAATTCTCTAGTTTCATTTCTTTACTGTGTCTCTTCATTTCCGTAATTCGTTTCAGGGTTCAACATGTGCCTTCTGTGAAGCAATTTTACGGGAGTGCGGTTTCAAAACAGGACTTTTCACTTCTCCTCATTTGATCGATGTTAGAGAANGAGTTTCTTCACTTCAAAATGGAATTTTTTTTCAGAGGAATCTGGTGTTGCACTGTGTATCTGGGAGGGTTTCAGTGTTTTCCTTTTCAATGACTTCGATACTTTCTCGTCAACCATGTAGATGACGTTAGGTAACCGATCTAATTTTCCACTCTCATTTCACTTTTCAGAAAGGAGTAAAAAGCCAATGTTTTGCGTGTTCCTATCCCCAGTTTTCCTTTCATCCTACTAACTGCTCCCAATGAGGTTTTTGTAGAACAGAATCAACAGATAGGGAATAACTTAATGCCCTGTTGATTTTAACGTGCTTCTTAGTATATCTTGAAGCACACAAGGCGTCCCTACTCAAATTTCAAGTTGAGTTTCGTTGCTTTTAATAGGTTTTCTTTATGTGATTGATGTCTTTCTTTTATTTGATTGTAGTTAAATTACTGACGAAGATTCTCATTCTTGCTTAGGATGGACATATGCCAGGAAAAATTTCTGCAATACTTTTGGGGTTGTTGGAATCAGCTCAAGGTATTCTTCCATTTCGGTTCTGTGCTGGATAACACGATGCCCCTATCTAATTATGCTAGTGGATTTTCCGACTTACCTTGACTACATCTCAGTTGGTTCTCTTTTACACATTTATGTAGTCTTAAGTAATTTTTCTGGTTTAAAATGAATTTTTTTTTAATTTATGATTCAGCCTCGCAGTGGGATTACACTAGTTACAGCAAACTGGAACTAATCATGTTACTACTGGAGATATCTAAATCTTTTAAATTTTACTGGTTCACTTTTTTAATTGGAATCCTTCATTTGCTATCACTGATCTGACATCTCTCGACTTCATCGTTCTTTGATATATACTGTCTGACATAAGCATACATGATTTACTTTAAGCTCATGATAGCAAATTCTTTTTAGTTTGTTTTAATGGTTTGTATTGGATGAGAGTAAAATATGATTTGGCACATCATCTGAAACTTTTTACTGTTAGTTGAAGTAATCTGCATTTAGTAAAATTTATGATGGTGGATTTTTACTGATTCCAGAAATGTTAATTTGCAGGCAAACGTCTCTGAAGACTTACCTATGCCTCCTCTCTTCCAGTTCCTTACTGTGTTGGCTTTTAAAATTTTTGTGAGCGAGAAGGTAGAGATCTATTCCTTCTATTTTGCTTGATCTGGATATGCCTCACTGCGTGATTTGAAGTTTCATAGCTGTGGTTTGATTTGGATTCTGCTGTTTATCTTCTCTTTTTTAAGATGTGCTTGGAAGTTGTCTACTATTCGAGTCTGGTGGCATTACCATATTCTCATACTGATTGGAAAACCAGCCCTCCAAAAGTCATAGCCATAGGAAAGCCAACCCTTTCAACCAAAAAAAAAAACGGCCATAGGAAACCAGTTCCTGGAACAAAATTACTGAAATGATAAGACTAAGTTATCCGCTGACCTTGACTTCCGGATTGGATATAGTTCCTCAGAAATCTTGACTTTGACAAGGCATTTTATCCTCATCATGTAATGATTACCCTGGCACTGATTAGTGATTACTGTGCTATTTAGAATATACAATTCCTTTTTAACTTTTTCGATGATTTTCATAAACCTTCGTGATAGTGTTAGGGATGACCAAAGTATAAGTTTATATCACAAGTACTTCAAGCTTTGAAATGCTATGGGATTAATCATACAATTGTTTCAATATCTTCAAATTTCTATCTAATTTCATTAGCAAACAGGTTACATACAGGTCTTGGTTCTGTTTGGGACCAAATTGTGCCATTTCTGGCACCTTGTAAATCAAATATGTATAATGATTTTTCTATTACCTCTGTGGTGTTAAAGAACTATTGAATTAAAACTTATAAAAAAGTTGAATAAACTTTTCTTTTTATTGATAAATAATGCTAAATGCTAATGAAGGGGAGAAGACTGGTAGTATCAACAAAATGCTCCATTAATAGCTGCACCTTTTTTCCGGGTAGGGTAGGCTTGGAGTCCAAAGTCCTATTCTTCCCAACCAAATAAATTAGGCTTTACTATGGCAGTTGTCACTGTATGGCCGGGAGGTCACATGTTCAAGCCATCGAAGTAGCCTCTCGCAAAAATGCAAGATAAGACTGCTTACAATAGACCCAATGTGTTCCGGTCCTTGTGAAGAGCCCGTGAATAACGGGAGTTTAGTGGACCAGGCTACCCTTTATTGATGAGTAGTGCTATGGAATTAATTTATACCTAAAAGTCTTAAGCAGGAGAAGAAAAGATTACTCTTTCTTTGATAGGTAAAGAAAACATTCATTAACAAATGTGAGAAAAAATATTGAGTGATTTACTTCTTTTTTAAGTCAGATAGTTGATAACTTTATTCTTAATTGCATCTCAAAGTCTGTAGCCTATGTTTGGTTTTCCCAACAAGAGCAAAACAAGTGAACCTCAACAATTATGTAACAAGACTTACTATACCTTCACAGGTTGATGTTGCCATCATTGAAGTTGGCCTTGGAGGAAAGTTGGATTCTACGAATGTGGTAATGCATCTTATCGTGTATTGATCATGTTGCTCCTACATATAAAATATGCAAGGTAGCATAGACGTTGGAGAAATCTTTTCTGCTCTTTTGTTGGGAAATAATATACTGAGCCTTGGCATTGAAGACCGTGGAATTACTTGATAAAACAATTTTGCAGATTAAGGAACCTGTTGTCTGTGGTATTACTTCTCTGGGTATGGATCACATGGAAACTTTAGGTGCGGCTTTCTCTCCTCTATAGTCGTGTTTTTTACTTTCTATGCAAAGATTTTGTGAGGAATAAGAAAACAGAGACCTGATAAATAAAATAAAGAAGAAATAAGAAAACAAGTAGAAGAGGTTGACACACTTCTATTTTCTTAATCATATCTTCAACATATGTCTTGAGCACGAATCACTTTTTAGTACCATTCTACATTCCACATAGCTTGTATTCATGAGAGACTAATATTATCAAGTATAACTACTTAACTATCTAAATTTTTTAGACGTATCTACAAACGATGTTTTATTCAAACAAATTCATTTGGCACATTCTTTAATTTGGCGGGAGACGGATGCTCCATTAGCTCTTCAATTTGCATCAAGTGTCAAAAAAATTCTTCTTTTTGATGCAAGAACAAAAATCTTATCCGGATGGCTACTAGAAAACCTTTTTGATATGACTTGTTTGTCTGCCAACTATGATGTGTAGGAGATACACTAGGCCAGATTGCTTCTCACAAGGCCGGAATTCTTAAGGTACTTAGTTTTGTGCAATTTCGTAAGTGTATGATAGTTTTTTCTTATAGTGGATTGTTTATGGCAAAGTTCCTGCCCATATCTTGAGCCGCAGTTATATTATGAAGTATTTTCTGAATTGGATTGGTGTTCCTGCTCGTGAAGCCTCAAGTTCCTGCATTCAGTGTGCTGCAACTTTCTGACGCAATGGAAGTTCTTCAAGAAAGGGCCAAAGAGTTGAAGGTAATCTACTGTAACATCATCTCTTGGATTCAAAGACTAGTGACTAATGTTTATTTACCTATAAAATCATGTGCCTGGGATTGCACCCTTTTTGGCTTAACTCAAATAAATTACTTACACATACAGGCAGTTTTTCTTAATGCTATATTTTCTTTACCCATAATCCTGTAATTTGAACTGGTCTAAAATATTTCCATGGACAGAAGAATCATGAGCTGAAAAAGTAACTATAAGTAGAAGTCTGACTTTAAAAAAGCAATTTAAGCATTTACTTTGCATTTGTTTCAAAGTTATAGTTACAATGCCTCCATAAAATCTTGTACACCTATGCCTCCATAACTTGCATCTTGCTTACGTGGCTTCAATTTTTGATTTGGGTGGAGCTTGAGCACATAAGTATTTGAATTAGGAGTTACAGTGGTGTAGAACTTTAAAATCTTGTAGTTGCTATCTTCTTTTAAGCATAATTTCAACAAATTGTGAAATAAAGGATCAAATCGCCAATCCAATAAGCGACTATTCTTAAATGTATTTTTCAAATGATCGTTCTTCTTTTTTCATCAAAATGATAATTTTTATTTTCTGAAAAGATTGTAAAACGACTGTAGCAATAGATTTCTGGCGAAAAAGGTATTACTCCATGAAAAAACTCTATGAAATTACTGGACCAGATAATATAACATTTGTATTCCTTGGCAAAAAGTTTCATTAGTGTTTCTATCGGCACAAGAATTTTGGTTTCCTTGCATGTATACATACTCTACATGGGTATACAAATCAAAAATAGATGTAGAAAACAGACACATATACTCTCAGTAATGATCTTCAAAAGATATTAGTTTGTTGGCCATCATCAAGTAACTACGTTGCATGTGAGTATACTCTAATTATTCACTACTATCCTCTCTGTTTGGATTGGATGCAATATTATATGTATCCGATGGCAAGCAAGTTTCACTTACCTTGAGAGTGTTTCTATTGGTGCCAAAGTTTCATTTTCATGCACATAAATATGCTCTACATGGGCAAACAAATCAAAACTAGATGCAGAAAACAGTCATATAGTCCCTGGAAAGATGTGGATAAGCTATTAGTTTATTGACCATCATCATGTAACCCACTTTATGTAGTTATACCCAAATTTCTGACTACTATCTTTTCTTTCCATGCAAGCACCACTAACTACGGTGTGTGTACTGAGAAATTTCTGACTATTATCTATCCGTCCATGCAGGTTTCACTGCAAGTTGTCGCACCACTAACCTTGGAAAAGTTAAATGGAACAAGGCTAAGCTTGTCTGGTGATCACCAGCTCACTAATGCTGCCCTTGCTGTATCCCTTTGTAAAAGTTGGCTTAGAAGTACAGGAAACTGGAAAAGGCTGTTTGAAGATGTTGGTGCTCTCTTTATTCTTTCCTCTTGTATTAGTCTGTGCATATGGTAATCACTTTTAAATGTCTCAACGGATATTAAAGTTCATGATTTGTTTCCAGTCAGGTGTTAATATTACATAAAGCCTGTCCTGTTGAATTTTATTTGTTTATTATGATAAACTTAACCTTCATTTTGATTATGAAAAATGTGGTTTTTTTATCTATATTGCAATCTAGAAATTACGGGTATTTATGCCCTTCATTAATGAAATTTTATTACCTTATCAAAAAAAAAAGTTTTACTGTATCTCATCTTGCTATCCAATGGAAGGGGATTTCTTTTTTTTTTTTTTTGGAGATGGTAACATATGGAAGGGGATTTCATTATTTAATGTGGCTTAAGAAGAAACTTCTTTTACTCTTATGTTCTTTGGCTCTATTATCACACTGCTCGACCTTTTCTTGGCATTAAACAGGCATATGAGAAAGATGGTCTACCAGAGGAATTCCTGAGGGGTCTTTCAGCTGCACGTCTTTCTGGCAGGGGTCAGATTGTTGCTGACCCTCTGATCAACGTATCTGGAGGAAATAAAAGGTTGTCAGGAGATCTTACCTTCTACCTAGATGGAGCTCATAGTCCTGAGAGCATGGATGCTTGTGCGAGATGGTTTTCTGCTTCTGTGGTAGGAAGAAAAGACATGTCACTTTCATCAGTTACCTCAAAAGACAATAAAATGGAGAGAGCCTGGACAAACGGTTACATCAAACCTTGTAATAACAAGGATTCGGACGAAATGCCAAAGCGGGTAAAAGAGCTCTCATATTGATACATGATATTCAGTTCATTTGCATTTGATAAATCTTTATGTTATGTGTTTTTCTTCCTCTACTTCTTGTCTTTGTGGTGTGACATGCTTTATGAATAAGATGGTCTCTCTACTGCAGATTTTGTTATTCAACTGTATGGATGCAAGAGATCCTCAAATTCTTCTTCCTAAGCTTGTCAATACCTGTGCATCATCAGGTAGTGAACAAGATAATCATGCAGCAATCTGTTGTTGTCAACTCGTCATTGATGTTTATCTCTGCAGACTGGGAATTGCATCCATATGGATTCTTCGAGACTAAGAAAAGATGGCACAACTGACTACCATAAATGCTCCTCCTATGTTACAATTATTCTTTATATCATGAACCAAACCTTTGTTCATCGCACACCATAAACGAGTTAAATGATTGATTGGTCGCTCAAAGTTAATTTCTTCTATAGAATCTAAGTTCACAGTAACACTATATTGACTTGCTTGATGTTTACCATCATATGGTGGAATTACGTAGAGTTATAGAATGTGCCCGGACACCTTGTCCGTCTAGTTCAAGGAAAATCACAGAAAATCCTTTGGTGTCTCATTTAAATCTCTTTCTCTTGTTAAATGACAAGGAGGTTTTATTGAAAAGTGATAATTGGGCAATGTGAATGTTTTCTTCTGCAGGTATTTACTTCTCAAAAGCTATTTTTGTGCCAAGCATTTCGGCATATACCAAGGTTACTTCTGCTACCTCTGCTATTCCCTCATATATCCCTGGAAAGGATTTGTCGTGGCAGTTTAACCTTCAGAGAATTTGGGAGAAAATCATTCATGGCAAAGGTAACTTCTGCCTGTTCCTTGGTAACTGGCTTCTCTTACTTTTTTTCTCTTAAATCTTATATAGCCTGCTTTTCCCTAGAGCAAGATTATCGTCTGTCTTGAATAGCTGACTAAAGCAGAGTGCATCTGAAACATATCCCTAAAAAGAAGGCTCCGCTTAAGTTTGATAAAGAGACTTTTGATGTAACAGGTTCTGTTAATTTTGTTACTTCGATCTTTTGGTTGTCTTCGCTCAAATAGGTTTCTAATCTGCAGTAGCTGTTGCCTAAGCAGTGTATAGCAGCCTCATGTGAAATTCAATAACGAGAGGCGTGAGAACTCCAAATTTAATCTTAGGGCATTGTCACTGAAGTAAGAAATATATGTTTGGAAGTGATCAACCTTTCCAACTTGACACCATGGTTTGTTTCTTGGTTTAGTATCCTCCTGAATGTTTGCTTATAGCTTTCAAAACTTTGCAGTGCTTATCCATGTAGAACCTCATATATCTTCCTGTCTAATGCAGATGTTCTTGATCAGAATCTCAAGATAAACGCCTCAGTAGGCGTACCACCCCATGAATTTCTTTATAAAGAGGCTTCTCATTGTGGTCCAGAAGATGGATATTTTGCTTGTAGTGCGGTTTTTCCTTCATTACCATTGACCATAAATTGGTTGAGGGATTGTGTTAGAGAAAACCCTTCCCTTAGACTTCAGGTACATAGTACTGCTGGAATATCACATACATTATTACTGTTTCTGACATACATGATAAACCTACTTGCATTAGACTTCAGAGGTTTTCATATATCCTATTAATAGATGACATCATAAGTTTATTTGCAAGTGAAGATGCTAGAGTTTCAGTTGACAGAGATGAATGCTTTATCTCGATTTGCCTTGAGATAACTCGAAAAAATCGTCCTACAACTAGACCTATGTGAAACATGACGAGTGACAACCAACTCGATCATAAATGTCACCTACGGCTCCGAATGGAAGATAATGTCATGCTTATGCCGGTTATTACTTACTCCACATGTTATTTTACTATGTACTTCCCATAGATGAAACCTAGGACATTGATTTTCCTGATGAGTATTTGTGGTAGTGAAGATGATATTTCATCTAAGTTGCGCGGACTCTTCGATTTTGGTGCCGTTCCCGTCCCGATACGAGACAGGGACGGGAGCGGGATACGTCCCGGATAGGGTCAACTGACTTCGGACACTTTGACCGGAGTCCATCGACAAATTTGGGAGAAAATTTGAGATTTTAATTTCTCAAAATCAAAAATAAAACAGATTTAGGAGAATGAAAGAATAATGTCCATCTTGGAGAATGAAAGATTGAATTCTACAATAGTCATGTAAGTTTTTGACAGAATATCTCTCAAATTAACAATATTTTTATAGCTATATTTTTTATTAGCCGAATCCCCGCACCCGTATCCATATCCGGATCCGCACCCCGAAGCTTAAAATTTAGATTTGCCGAATCCGATACTCAGATCCGTCCCCGTATCGGATACCCGCACCCGAGTCCGAGCAACTTAGTATTTCATCACAAATGCACACTTCTTGGAGCTGGAACAATCAAATTTGTGACACCACCTTGATAGCTAAAGCATTATATACTTCTTATTCCAGGTTCTTGTCACTGGTTCATTGCATCTTGTTGGCGATGTATTGAAGCTACTAAGGAGGTAATGTAAAATTTCCTTCCCCAAGTGGTTGGGGGGTAGTTGATGGAGACTGGAGAGTGTGATATCGTCGGAACATTTTTCGGAGTTTCTCATGCGACGCCAAGGTAGTTGATGGAGAGTGATATCCTTGGAATGTTTTTGAGAGTTTCTCATGCGACGCAACCCAGTATTCTTTTCCTAGAAATTGAATTTTGCGCCATTATATTGTCATTGTTATAGTTTTATTTTCATGTTCACTAATTATGCAGACAATATTCTATCTTTAAATTGGGAGATTGGGCAGCCCGGTGCATTAAGCTCCCGTTATGCGCGGGGTCCAGGGAAGGGCAGGACTACAGGGGTCTATTGTATGCAGCCTTACCCTACATTTCTGCAAGAGGCTATTTCCACGGCTTGAACCCGTTACCTCCTTTGAAATCCTTCTATCCATGAAGGTGCTATTTCCTAGTTATAAATGGTATTGTTTGAGTATAAGATGACTTATTTTGTTATAGCAGGTTTGATTGAGAACATTACAACTGTTTCCTCACTTTTGCTTTTACCTGTAACGATAGTTTTTGGGTCATCTTGCACATACCTCGATTATTTAATATGTGTATTTGTTATCTTCCACTAGCATTGGTATCGAATAACTCTATCCATAAAACTTAGACAAATAGGAAGAAATCAACCGGCGTTTTTGTCTCCATAAAACTGTGGAGACTCAGGCAAGTGTTCTGTATTTTCATGATTAGAAGTTACTATTCTTATCAAAATATTCACTATAAATATCTAAATTCTAGTATGAGAAAAATATATTGACTAAAAAATTAAGATTGAAAAAGAAATATCCAATGACTGAGGGTGGCATTTGTTTAAAAAACATATGAAATTATTTGTGGACTATTTTTCATTATTTGCAAAAGTGGATCTTTTCCCTAGCGACGTTTTGTAATTTTTTCCACTTTGCAAACAGATAAATATAATTAAACCGTTCTACTACCTAGTTAAAAAACATATAGAGGTGTAAAATATATTAATTCTTTTCCTGAAAAAGAAAAAAAATATGTTGACCCAATAACTAGGTAAAATTTTTTGGAAAAATGCAATTGTATAGTCGTTCTTAAAATAATAAAGGAAAAATTATATATTCTTTATGCATTTTTATATTTTTGTATGTTATATACAGAAAATATATAAATTTTATACACTTTTGCACCTATCAGATCTAATAAATTTCGGCCGCATGCTAAAAGGGATCTTAGCCCAATAATTACACTATTTGACATAACTTATCTTTCCAAAAATGAAGTTATTAACAATCTCTAAAGAACATGTATGTTTCTTATTTAATACTATAAAAACAACATTTTCATCCGCCTTTGCCCTTATTATCGATTATATAAATTTTCATTTATCTGTTTCACTTTAAATTTATTTCATGCCAATATTAGATGAAATAAGAATAAAATTCTCTATTTGCCAACCCAGCTTCGCGCCTCCAAAATTTCCTGTTCCCCCCACCCCCANACAATATCTCAAATTAGGCCTATATAATTACATTAATCCCCACAGGTATTAATTATATTATCACTTCTGTTTTGTCTTTCAATTGTTTTCTTTATTTTTTCCCCTAATGACTGTTACTTTTTTCTCAGTGTTGGAGTGATTTTAAGGAAACCCAAGTTTCAAGTTTTGGCTTGTGTGAATTTTACGATAATGGGGTCTAAAAAAAGACCCTTTTTAACTTCATCAGCTATTGCAAAGTCAAATGAACCAATGGGTGTTGCAGCAGAAAAGGGTGTTTCAAAGGTTGAATCTTTTTGACAAATTAATTTTTAGTAGGAAAAATTAGTTTTTTATTTGAATTTTTGTTGTTAAATGTAGGAAAATGTTGACAAGGAGATTCTTGTGGAGGATATGGAAACAGTAGAGAAAATGACAGTTCCACAGCTCAGAGTGAAACTTAGGTATGTGCTCAATGTTTCTTGTGACGTTGTTTGACTGGCAGAGTGTAGAAAGAAAGAAAGGCTGACTTTTGAAACTTATGGTCTAAAATAAGTCGTAGTTATTTGTATAAAAAAGTATCGTTCTTTTTGGGACATACTAAAAATAGTATTATCAGAGTTGAAAAGCGCAAAAAAGTTCTAAGGTCTGTTGGGCCTTTAAGCGCAAGGCACAAATAAAGTGTGGGCTTTAACGAAGAAAGGCGCAAATGGAGAAAAATAATAAATATGTATGTATAATCCAAGACTAATATCTATAAGCAACAACAACACCAAACCCATTGTAATCCCACAAGTATGTACGCAGACCTTACCCCTACCTGAGTAGGTAGAGAGGCAAACTAATATCTATAAGCATGAATACCAAATATATGGACAAAGAAATTGAAGAAAATTTACGATAACGTGAAATATCAATTGTTTAGTATCACCTCTTAAGGATTACGCTCGTTGGCAAGGAAAGTTATGCCTTCTGTATTGCTTCTTGTCATGATTTCCCTTGCTAGATATAGGGAAACTATATGTGTGACAAGAATGTGTATATGAAAAAGTTTTTCTAATTGCTTCTTGGTCATAATTTCCCGTGCTACATATATAGAAACTATATGTGTGTGAATGATTATCTGACAGCCATAACAAGTCTATACTTGTGGAGAAGTTTTTCCTTAAGCTGCAAATACTTAAAATTATCCAGGGATTGAAGGTAATAGCTGTTGTAGCGGCATTCAGGGTTTGGTGGCGTGGAATTGACTTGGCTTCGCCAAAAAGCCTCATCTTTAAAAGCTTCGAAGCTTCCAAGTTTACTTGTTTCATGTTATGGTTATAGAGAATAACTCGGTGGATAAGCTTCCGTGCTCTCAACCTGGTTTGGATCATTTAACGGCCACATTCTTTACAATCATAAGCTCGATCACGAGGGTCCAAATCAGGGTTTCTTAAAACATGACTGTGAGGATTCATATAGCTTTGCTAACTTGCCTGGAATTGAGGCTTAGTTGTTGTATTGTTGTTGTTGTTGTAGTGAATGCTTAAAATTATCCTTAGAAGTTTGAAAAAGATGTGCTGCCGTAGTAGAGCTAAAAGGTTTTGACCCTTGGTTGGAGCCACTAAGCAATTGGCTTGTAGCATTGTACCATTCAGCCCTAAGTGATTCCACTGGAACTTGAACTAGTTGGTCTAAAACCTCTGTTCTGATGACATTCCACTTCAGAAATGATTTGTGTTGGAAAAGTTTACACAATGTGTCATGTTGTATTTTGCAGCAGCTTTCACTTTGATCCTGTGACATGAAAGCCAGTTTTCTGTCTTTTAGGAGTCTTGGGATTCCTTCCAGAGGTACTAAACAAGAGCTTGTTACTTCTTTGAAGACATTCCTCGACAGCAAACTTAATGGTACTCTTTTCTAAAAATTAATTTCTTTAATTTGGAAACTGACGTAAGTCATTTATCTAGGTGATTGTTATTATTCTGTGAACTCCAAAATCCAAAATATAGCAGAAAGATACTTTTAACCCGTAACTTTCTGCTATAGATGCAGGCAATGGATCTGTGGCACAGGAGGATCAAGTATCGTCTGAGAAGAGTCTAGGAGTAGTCGATAACACTTCAAAAAGGAAGGCTAGAAAAGTGTCAAGTAACCAAAGAGATGTTGCTGCATCAGAGGTTTCTAGTACTAGGAAGACGAAAAAACGAGTGAAAGAAGACAACACCAAGGATACAAGTGCTGACATTATTGTTAAACAAGCTGAAATTACCCTAGGGCTCTCCGCTGAATCTAATGACATCAAAGGTGCTTCGGTGTTTTCTGTCTGGTTATTTTGCACCTTGCCTTACAGTACATCTTTGCTTTGCTTTGTCAGTGTATTAAATGATGAATAATTTTGATAGGCAAGAAGACTGTACGAGCAAAGAGAAAAGTTTCATCATTGACCGCTTCGGCACACATTGGAGTTTCTGAGGGCGTGGATATTTCTGTAAATCAAGATGAACCTTGGACTATTTTCGCTCACAAGAAGCCCAAAGATGGGTGGATTGTATACAATCCTAAAACAATGAGGCCAGCTCCTCTTTCTAAGGATACAAAACATGTTAAGTTATTGTCATGGAATGTCAATGGTTTGAGGGCTCTATTGAAGTTAAAGAATCTTTTGATACAGCAGCTTGCCGATAGAGAAGATTTTGATGTTCTATGCTTACAGGAAACTAAACTACAGGCGAGCTCTCATTTTATCTTTTTTCTGCTTGTAGGAATCGACTTGATATTGTAATAGATATTATCTAAATAAGTTGCACAATATATCAGTCGATTATCTAACTCGTCAACCTTACAATGTAGTGAGATCCTTGTAAACATAACTTAGGATGCAGGTGATGCTTCACCTTATAAATGTATGGTCTTTATTTGCACAACAACAGAAATTGTATGAAATGGAAGCATTGGTCAATGCCTTCAAGGCAGATATGTCTCATTATGTTTTTTCTCTTAATTTTAACTCGATGAAAGGAACTCTGTGTCTTTTACTAGTTATATGTGTGTGTATGGATACACAAATGCCGTTAGCTTGGAATGCTTGGGGATGGAAATGAGGGAATATCTAAAATACTTGGATTTAATCAGATACAACTTGAAGATTTTGTAGGTTATTTGATCAAGGGTTGAGGAAGACCTTATAAGAACTCGTCAATTTATGTTGACAATGGTTTTTTATCAACCATATCCACTTTTTGTTCAAATTCTTGGTAATCAATATTCTCACACAAACGTGCACATACATATTCATGAGTGTGTGTGTGCGCGCGTGCGTGCGTGTGTATTCTCAGGTTCCTTAAGTCTACTTGCTTCCTAGTTGATACGATTCTTCAAATTTAAGGCTCACTGTCTTTTCAGAATCTAGAGACTGCAACATAAACTGGACTTCTCTTTTATGATTTTGTTCCTGTTAAACTAAGTTCTACAAACTTTAGTTGTTGGTGTACCTTGAAATATATGGAATATTACGTGCTAATGCAATAATTCCCGTACACTGTGGAGATTACTACGTGACTAGTAGAGACTTTGTTCCTTCATACAACAAAATCTTTGTGCTGTCTTAGCTAATTTAATTTCTGATTCTTGGAAGCAGGATAAAGATGTTGAAGCAATCAAAGAAAGTCTCAGTGGCTATGAGAATAGCTTTTGGACATGCAGTGTCGCTAAGCTTGGGTATTCCGGTACTGCAATCATCTCTAGGGTATGAACCTTTTTCCCTTCCCTCTTTTTTTCTTCTCTTTTTTTAAATAATTTTTTTTTCCTGTTTTCTTGATTGGGAGTAGCAGATTTGCTTCTTTATGTAGGCCCTCTGTGGGGTGCCATACTTTGGTCTCTGAGAATTTTTCTTATAGAGGAGGAGGAGGAAGAAGATTGAGGCTCTATGTGTTCTTTCCTTGATTTTTTTAAAATTCTTTGGTATATAACCAGTATTCTTCTTCTGCTTTCCGCTTTTGACAGATCAAACCACTTTCTGTCAGATATGGTCTCGGTATACCTGATCATGATACTGAAGGACGACTTGTCACGGTGGAATTTGATAACTTCTATTTACTGTGTGGATATGTTCCAAATTCTGGC